GTAGGAGCAACAGCCATGTGGGCAGCGCAGTGTCATATGCCATAGTTGTGCTCAAGGTGTTTGTCACAGCTCCAGACTTATTATTATTTGTTCATTAATGACGTCATCAGCGACTAGTCGACTTCGACTCGACTTTCATCACATAAAAGTCGACTTCAAAAAATCAGAAGTCGTTCAACCCCTAGTTCACAAAATTGTTCAATCTAGTCACAGAAGTTAACAGCAGACTGGGGGAGAAGATTGCAAATAACAACTTCAATTTTAGTCTGTTCCTCACTTTTGTTAAAAAGTCTGGGGTCAATAAGATTTTTTTTAATGCTTTAATGCTCTTATGCGCAACAAAGCTGCATTTATTTGATAAAAAAATACAGTAAAAATGAAATACTATTACAATTTAAAATAACTGCTCTCTTTTTAAATACATTTTCAAATGTCATTTATTCCTGTGATGCAAAGCTGAATTTTCAGCATCATTACTCCACATGATCCTTCAGAAATCATTCTAATATGCTGATTTGGTGCTCAGGAAACATTATTATTATTAAAAACAATTGTGCTTAATATTTTTGTGTAAACCATGATATATTTTGTTTAGGATTTTTTTTTTTTTTTTTGGCTGAATAGATTTTTTTGTAACATTATAAAATGTATTTACTGTCATTTTCTTCAATTTGATCTATACTTACTAAATAAAAGCATTAATTTCTTTCAAGAAAAACAATTCTGGCTGACCCCACACTTTTGAACGTTAGTGTTAGTTACATATACTACTTTTATTATCCTTTTATGATGCTTTTGCATCCTTTTTGAAGCTTCAAAGCCTCTGTTTACATTCATGGCAATTGTATGGAAAAGAGCGACCAGTTCAGTTCCTCAAAAAAAAAATCCTCTTTTTGTGTTAAACAGAAGAAATCATACGGGTTTGGAACGACTTGAGAGAGTATAATTTTTGGGTGTACGAATCCTTTAAACATTCTTTTATTTGCACACACATTCTGAACTAATAATAATACTAAAGATTTAAGAAGTATAGTGGTATAAGCAATGACCGAATCCAGATCCAAAATCATACTCACAGCCGCACAGATGGCCTCTAAATGAAGACATTCCACTTTCTGAGTCATCTCTCTGTGCCTGAACCGATACCAGCCATCAAAGTTTGGTGAACGGAAGAAACGCCTAAATGCCATATATAAACATTTATTATAAGCACGATTAACAGGAAGTTTCAGTCTTTAGTTCCCGAATGTCCTGGGCTGTGTTTCTCATCAAAGGAGCATAAGCCTAGATAGATTGTACAGATTATTGATGCCAATGGGTTCATGATGCTTTTGGGAAAAGCAGCCCTGGCATGTTACCTGTACAGGCCTGTCCAATCTCCTTTCAGAGTTAGTTGTGGCCCTGCTTGCTCCAGGGTCTTCATGAACTCATCCTGACTGAAAGACCGGATCTGAGGAGGGGTCTGAGACATACATACACAACCGTTTCATTGCCACTTGAATCCCAAGACTTCACTTCATATTTGAGGTCCAACATAATCAATGGAAATGGCTTATACACATCTCCTTAATCTGATTTACCAACCTTCCACGGAGACATAGATCTCTGTGGCGGCATGAGGCTTTCCAGATACCGTTCCTAAAGAAAAGAATAGGTGCGGCGCTCAATATTGCTTAGTGAATGAAATGAAACAGTAAAGCTGTCATTAAGCTCTGAACAAAGGTGCAAAAATGTTTTTAAACTGGTTACCAGCGGAAGAATGAAACTCTGCGTTTGCTCCAACAGATGCCGCCTCAAAATGGCGCTCTGAACCTCTGATGGCCTTTTTTTCTGGATACCCTAAAAGTAAAAATGAAAAACCAAAGCAAGGAGTTAGACGTAATTTTATTTTTAACTTAAATGTCATTTTTCAAGAATGAACATTTGCAGCCTACCTTTAAAAGTCGCTTGATGAGGGCTTTATCTTTGTGTAGAAAGGTCTTGTATGCTGTGTATATGCCTTTATGGTATAAGAGAAAGAAAATTATATATATATATAATATATATATATATATATACACTCACGTTATTCAGCACATAAGATTACTTGCGTACCTGTTTTAGTATCCAGTGTTTTTAACTTTGCCAGTTTCTTGACCTTCACTTGCTTTGGTAAATCACCTGCAAAGAAACTCCATTCAGACCTCTCTCGTGCAATATACCAAAATCTGTTGCATATGTTAAAAAAAAGGGCTGTCAGATGAGCCTTGCTGCTAAAATGGAGCATAATTTACCAGACATCTTCAGGTCTCCGAGGCGAATAATGTGTGGCCAGCACTGAAAGGTCTTTATAAAGAAAGGGTTTGTGACACCAAGTATCACATTGGGCCTGAAAGACGAAAATAGACTGAAGAGTCATATCCTGCCCCACAAATGTTGTTTTGCACATGTAGCTCACGTTTAGACCAAACCTAAAGGTGCATTTTTGAAGAATATCATGGCTGCTGTCAACTACTAAATAACAAAAAGCGGTCCATACATTTGTGTGCTATATTTTAAAGCCATGATAGCTTTGCCGGAGCAACAGAACAATGCCTTTGTGTCATTTTGCAGTTTGACAGTTCCAGTCCCCATTCACTTTCATTATACGAAAGAATGACTTAGATAATTTTTCAAAAATTAATCTTTTGTTAAAGAAAATCATGAGTCATTGAAAATTGAAAATCATTGAAAATTGAAAATCATTGGAAAGACATGATGGTCAGTAAACAATTACAGAATTTTTAAAGAAATGATCCTTTAAAGAGAGACTTTAGGTGGCATGTGAGTTTTTGCTTACGGAGCCTGAGTCCTGGTCGTGTACTCCTTGAATTCACTGTCATGAATGGTGAAGTATGGTCTGTAATCACCACAGTAGTGCAGTGGGGCGATAGTGCTAAACAGTGAGCATAAAACATATCAAATATATGCAAAACTACACTATGTCCTATCAATTGTTAAAAACTGGTTAAGAAGAAACTATTTGTGTTTAAAAAGCTTTTGCAATTTCACAAAAACCATGTTAAATAAACATCCAAACAGTTCTGAAATGGTGTGGGGTTTGGAGTTTGCTGATGAATAAACATAGGCATAAACTCTAATAGAAACAGACCAAAGAAACGCTATCAGCTCTTATTGGCATTATTATAAGTTCCTAGCAATTACTTATGTTGTTTACGTGCTTCTGGAAGGAGAGCTTTGAAAACGCAATATCCATACCTGACCAGGGCCAACACAGTCTCTGAGGAGAAGGTTGGAGAGGGTGCCATAACAACCACAGGCTCTCCTAGCAACATGAGCTCCCAGAGCATCTGCACGTGAATCAGGACTGACTGGAAACATCTGATTACATGAAGGTCAATTAGGGCTGCTATTAGTGAGGGCTGTAAAATCAACAGATGGTTTAGTAATTACAGATAACATGTACAACCGGTGTAATACTCACTTGAAAAGATCCAACTCGTGAACTGATGGAAGAACCGTGGGGGCAGGGAGCAGATTCTGCAAAAATACAGCCACGTATTAAGCATATGTTAAAATAAAAGCATATGTGCATGATTGTCATAGTAAAATGAGACAGGCACCTCTGTTTGCGGTTGTCTTACAGGGCTTCCTGCTGGTGTTTCGACTTTTGAGGGAATTCTGACCTGCAAATCCAACATCAGCATTTGATCAACTGAATGGATTTAAAAAGGGTTTGGAAAAGAGTTTTTCCATCCAAAATCTTCTCACCTGCATCACCACACCAATCACAGGTAGGTTGAGTGTCTGTCCTGGTACTGGTGCGGGCCATTGCTCAATCTCATTACAGACTGAAAGATATTAACCAATATGACTGAAGATTTGAGATTTAACACTCCATAATAACTTGAGCTTTCTGTTTGATATTTTAAAAGCAGTATATGATTGCTGGCATGCAAATATTTGTTTCTTTGGGTGGTTTTCGTGTTTATGTAAATCTTTACTGAATTACCTAGTTGATTTATGTAAATACACATACACATATATTATATAAACACTACCATTCCCAATTTGGAGTAAGTAAGATTTTTTCAGAAAGTGTTTTGAGTTTCTCATGCTCATTTAGGCTGCATTTATTGGATCAAAAATACAATAAAAAAACAGTACTACTGTGAACTATTATTACAATTTAAAATAACTGTTTTCTAATACATTTTAAAATGTCATTTTTTCCTATGATGTTTTCAGCAGCCAGTCTTCAGTGTCACATGATCCTTCAGAAATCATTCTAATATGCTGATTTGGTGCTCAAGAAACATTTTTATTATTAACAATGTTAAAAACAATTGTGGTGCTTCATATTTTTTAGATATACTTCTGATGAACAGAAAGTTCAAAAGAACAGCATTTATTTTACTGTCATTCTTGCTGAATAAAAGTATTAATTTCATTTAAAAAACTCTTGACCCCAAACTTCCAAAGGGTTGCCTATGTGTGTGTGTCTGTAAGGGAGAGAGAGTGGGAGAAATGTGACCCTGGACCACAAAACCAGTCTTAAGTGTCAATTTTTCGAAATTTAGATTTATATATCATCTGAAAGCTGAATAAATAAGCTTTCCATTGATGTATGGTTTGTTAGGACAATATTTGACCGAGATACAGCTAGTTGAAAAGCTGGAATCTGAGGGTGCAAAAAAAACATTTATTGAGAAAATCGCCTTTAAAGTTCTTAGCAATGCATATTACTAATCAAAAATGAAGTTTTTATTTATTTACGGTAGGAAATTTACAAAATATTTTCATGGAACATGATCTTTACATCCTAATGATTTTTGGCATAAAAGAAAAATCTATAATTTTGACCCATACAATGTATTTTTGGCTATTGCTACAAATATACCCCAGCGACTTAAGACTGGTTTTGTGGTGCAGGGTCACAAATAGAGTATGTGCTTTACATAATAAAACAGAATTTTGTGGCAAAAAGATGGAAATAATCTGTTGTCTTTATCCTATTGTTACTGTAAGGACCTTTGAAATAACTGAAATCATTTGGCAAAGTGATATGGACATGTAAAGTGGTCAAGAGTGTTTTTTTTCCCCCAAGACAAGCTGGTCTCACCTGTCTCCAGACAAGGTTCTTGCTTTTCAAAGTACTCAGGAGCAATGACCTTCAGCAGTGAATGGAAAAGGTTCACAAACGGCAATCTGGACACCACCACCAGAGACTAGGGATATAGAAATACTGAAATCATTTACGGCACAAAACAGTCATTATTTCCAGTATATTATTTAACAACAAGGACCTTGACTAAACACATTCAATTAAAGTGTAAAGTCTAAATAGACTGGAAAAGCTCATTGTGAAAAAACAGAACAAGCATGTGTATCTTTCATTTCAGTTACACACCTTCTGAAAGTAGCCCCTTTTGACAGACGCATCTTTCACTTGCCTGAAATACACATACCCGTGCAAATGTGCATGCTCCTTCTGAAAAAACAGTACGGTCATTTACATGCACACCTTATTTATGGAATTTATTGGTTCAAAGCCAGGGACGCGGGAAGTAGGGGTGCTGAGGGGGCTGCAGCACCCCGTTTTCACATTCAAAGCACATGTCAATCAGTTGTGATGCTGGGAAAAGTCTTAATTCAGAGCAAGTCTATTTCTAACCTGCAGGGTCACAGGTGCATCCTTGTTGTACACATCCTCCTGTCCAAACCAAGAGCTACTGCGGCCCACCGACTGCCGCAGTCTGAAGCTGAACTGAGTGTCCCCGAGGCATCCTGGGATAGACATGCACTCGTGTGATTGAGCTGTAATGCTCATGTTTCAGCTGTTTATCATGAAAGCACGGATCAGATCAGCCTGTGCCAGCAGTCGCCGTGATTTTGCCAAGTAAGACATGTTCTTTTGTTCATCTTTTGTTGATCCAGGATCAACATTACTGTCCAAAAATATAGACTAAACCCAATCCCTACCCCTAAACCTAACCCTACCCATAATTTATTCCTAAAACCAGTGTGAAATAATAGCTGATTAACAAGGGTGTAGAAGCACCTAACCCTGATCGTAAGCCTAAAACAGATATTTCCTGAAAAGTTATCCCTCAATTCTGATTGGTTAATTGGAATGTTGTTCCAACAAGGATGTTGATCCAGGAACATGTTGTACTTGGTGAAATCACGGTCACCGTGCCAGCACATTACCTGAGTATGAGTCAGGAAACGATAAGTAACAGATGCTTGTTTTCTAAAAGACAGAAGGAAGCGAAGGGTTTAAGCACTTTAGAAAGAAATTAGTGTTTTGAAAATCGTCGTAACACATTGTGCTCTATATATTTATAATACTGCGGGAAAATAAATGAATAAATAAAATATTTAAATCAAATTCATCTTACCTCTTTCTCTGTGAGTTTGACATCATGAGGGTAAACGAGCTGATAACAACCGAAAGAATGTTAGAGATACACAGTGATGCTGCTGTTGCTGTGGTTACAGTGGTGATATTACAATCAGAACGTTTGCACTGTCACTGCGTTTTTTCACAATCAAATTTTTCCCCGCTTGTAACAAACACTTAAACAAACAATGTCAGATGTTGGTACGTGCACATCATTTGTGTACCTCTATGGCTTGTCCGAGCTCGAGGTCGAAGGTAACGACGCACACACACTCGAGCCAGGCAGAGAAGCGCGTCCACGGCACCGGTACCTCTGTGTTTGTCGCCGCAGCCTTTGATGGCCCTTCCAGAGCATCGGAGCTGTCAAATGGGTCCATTGTGACCTAAAAATCTATTTGAGAACCGCTTGCTTTTGTGAATGGTCGCGTCCTCGGTCATCGTTCAGGAGCCATTGAGGCTGAACAGCGCCCTCCCGCGGGGAGGAATGACTTAGTACTCTTAAATGTGACCCAGGACCACCAGTCATAAGGTTCAATTTTTTGAAATTGAGATTTATACGCCATCTGAAAGCTGAAATAAATAAGCTGAATAAATACGCTTTCCATTGATGTATGGTTTGTTAGGACAGGACAATATTTGGCTGAGATACAACTATTTGAAAATCTGGAATCTGAGGGTGCAAAAAAAAAAAAAAAAAAATAAAAATATTGAGAAAATCGCTTTTAAGGTTATTGAAATAGACTCACTGTGCCTGCAAAAAATTCCCGAAAAAAATCTTGACATTAATTATAATAAATTGTTTAACGCATTGGCCTAGTTTATTTTAATAATATAATATGACAACAAACTCCAATTGTTGTTGTTATCATCATCATCATTATTATTATCATTAGTATTATTATTTTAATCTACGTTCATCTTATCAAGGCTAGTGGAAATAAACGCGGGGAAGCGCGCGCTCGATTCGCAGGCACAGTGATCTGACAGCACGCGCACGCGCGCGTCTATGACAGAGTTTCGCCATTTTGAACACAAACATATGAACGATTTTTATTTTCCGATCCCCCTTTCCCTCGCCTTGCGCGTGAGCAGCCGAGATAACTCTGCGTAGTGACTAAGAGCAGAATAATTTTCAAAAAAACTCATTTATCGATAAGAGGCAACAGAAAAGCAACTTTAGTGAGGACGATGGCTCGCGCTTTGGGCAGATAGTTGAGAGGAAAACGGTCTCGTGGCAGCTGCGGGGTTTCACAGAGCGCGCGCGGGGCAGCAGCAGCAGCAGCAGCAGCAGCCCGTCTGAAGACACTCACAGCGGGGGTAAGCATGCATGCATAGCCTGTTTACATGCGCAGATAGCACTGCTGGGGCCGACCCTCTCTGCCGTACGCCAAACCATGCTTGTTTCGAAATGTTTCGCTTAGAAATTGTGTCGTTTTTATTCTCTTCAGATCGGAAGAAACTTCTGTAAGAGAGAGGTTCAGCTGAAGTTAGCCAGACGAGCTAGCAAACAAACCGAAAACATCCCATTCTTTAGCGTTAAATAACGCTTTACATCTCTAGCAACCCATTTTGAGTCATAAATGAGTGTTTGTTTGAGTTGTTTCGGTCGAGTTTGGGGTTGTTTTGAAAATACGGAAACCAGTTTTGTCGCTAATGTTAGCCGCTTATGCTAACGGTTGCTAGCGGGGCCCAGTTGTAAACATGCAACCGCCGAGATTTTCTGCTGAAACTGTTATTCTGCATTTAAAATCATCGTCCTATGTGTGAATTTAATAGTAATACGTCTTCTTTACCCGTCCTGACTTTAAAAGGTGTGAAAACTGCTCTGGTATGTCATTGACGTCTGTTGTAAACATTTGATTCAAATCATGTTGTCATTAGCAGCCACACGAGTAATTCATAAGTTCAACCTCTTCAGCTATTTAACTATTGAGTTGTAAAACACGATCGTTCAGTATGACGAATGCAATCTCATTTGTAGTTTTGTAATGCAGGAACACCCCCTCTGGGGGTCCAGGGGTCAGGACAAATTGCTGGATCAACTTCCTAAGTAGGCAGCTTCTGGACAGGTGTGCAATCAATGCCAGCTTATTTGACCTCAGCTGCTGTCAGAGATCTCATGCAACATCCCCGCTCGTGTCTGCTGTGTGCGGCAGCTTATATTGTGTGCAAATGCTGCTGTCTGTTACTATTTTTGATGAATTGTAGAGCAGAGGCATTTGCTTTCCTGTGTAGAGTTCACTGGGGAGTTCTCTGCTTGTTATTGTTGCAGTAAGCTCTGCACGTGCACACAGCCATGTCCACAGAAAAGAAGGAAACAAGTCCCCTTGTCTATTTTTTTTTGGCCACTTTTTTTAAAAATGAAAGAAGCGCTTCAGGTTGCACAGCTGCAGATCAATGATAGATATTCTTTCCGGTATGTGTTCTCTGTGTCGTTTGTCAACAGATGAGTCTGTAGTGCTCAAGGAAGCTGTTACCAGCTGCTGTTTTGAGTGTGCCATATGCGCACGAGATGTGGAGTAGGTGCGCATTTCATTTAGGAAGAAAGTGCGTCTAGTAGCACCTTTTGTTTTAACTTCCTAGAATTTGGTCAAAATTTCAGTGAAATTTTGCAGGCAAAAAAGGTCCATTGTCTTTAGTTAATAATGTAGTGATGAAGTAGAATTAAGCTTTTTTCAAATCACAATGTGTTGGTCAATGCGGTAAATGTTAAACTTGAACCTCTTGCGAAATCTGCATGGGGGAATTGTTCGTCCTTATGGAATTATTACTGTATTTCACCCGCAAAAAAAATCACCGAACAATAGTAAACATGACTGCACTTAAAGGAAAAGTTCACCCCCAAAAATGAAAATTTGCTGAAAATGTATCACCCTCAGCCTCAGGCCATCCAAGATGTAAAAGAGTTTCTTCGTTGGAACAGATTTTGAGAAATTTATTACATCAATTGTTCACCAAAGCATCCTTTGTAGTGGATGGGTGCCGTCAGAATATGAGTCCAAACAGCTGATAAAAACAACACACTAATCCACGCAATTCCAGTCGATTAATTAATGTCTGGTGAAGTGAAAAGCTGCGTGTTTGTAAGAAACAAATTCATCATTAAGGTGACTTGCTCTTCATGTTCCAGTTGCCTCATGTTTTGTTTTGAGGGGGATGTGTTAGTTGGATGCTTTAAAGGTCCATCAATTATTTCTGTCCCCTTCCTTGTTCGTCTGTTCTCCAGGCGTTTTAACTTTAAACTGCCACTTCTGGACAAAATACGAGTCCATAATAACACTTCTTCCAATGAAAAACTCCATCACCTCTTGTCCGCTCACATCAAAATCCACCGTATATTTGTTTAGGACTGTTTTCGATTGTAAGCGGTGCTTATCTGTGCATATTTCTCTCTTGATTCAGACAAGATCACTTTTTGACTGGAGAAAGCAAAATGATGTATAGTGGAAGAAATGGTTGGAACTTAAAAATTCTTAAAAATGGATTTGTTTATTACAAACATGCAGCTTTTGGCTTTACAAGACGTTAATTGATGGACTGGAGTGGTGAGGATTATTGTGATTATTTATCAGCGGTTTGGACTCTCATTCTGACGGCACCCATTCACTGCAGAGGATGCACTAGTGAGCAAGTAATGTAATGCTAAATTTCTACAAATCTGTTCTGATGAAGAAACAAACTCATCTACATCTTGGATGGTCTGAAGGTGAGTACATTTTCTGCATATTTTCATTTTTTGGTGAACTGTTCCTTTAATGCTTGAAGTCTGATCTCAAGACTCATATTTATTTGTTGTACAAACCACTGTAGTGCCATTTAAGCAAACTCTTAAAATAACTGTTTGCATATCTGCTAGAGAGTCAGTATAGGGGTAAATTTGAGGAAGAGAGTGTTTATGTGCATTTGTTCACTGTTGATAAGGAAATGACGTTTGTACACTGCATTTTCAGTTCACGAGACCTTCCATAGTGCTGATTTTAGTCTTGCACAGTCTGTTGTGTGTTTTCTAGCTCCAAGGTCCCTAGACTATATGATGTAATGTGTTTTTATACATTGTTGATGTATTATACACACTTTGCATTATTTGTTACATTGGTTTAAAGTGTTTTTCACCTCTGCCTTATTATTTTTGAAGGGTTTGCATTATCTCGTTTCTTTTCCCCAGTGTCAGACCGTCTGAGGCGTGCGTGTATTCGAGGAAGGCCTGGTGGGAAGTGGACCTCATGCAGATTAATGCTAGGTCATTCTGTGCTGTCTGCATTCTGCCACTCAAATGCCTGTCTGCCTGTGGAGGAGGTGTAACTAAGGATTCACACGTTTCATCAGCTGGTAAAAATATATTTATTTAACAAATGCTATTAATGTCCCAGCGCTCGAATTCCTGAAGAGGCTTTATATAGGCTCACTAACAGATCACATCTCTTTGCGCAAGCAAAGCCTATCAGGCTGTGTGAAATGTATCGCCCAGGGTGTGATGCGTGGGTATCAGTCATCTTGTGGGAAAGGTCTGCTTTGTTCATGACCAGAGTTGTTAGAAAATCTTCACAGCCCAGGTGATTTCAATCAGTACTGAAAGAAGGAAAGTTGCTCTTCATGTTCCAGTTGCCTCATGTTTTGTTTTGAGTGGGTCCAAAACCTATTAGGCTGCCTAGTGCCTACATAGACAGCTGCTTTTTAAGACAACTCCCTAACCATAATAGAACTTCATAAGCGACTGATTTGGAACACAGTGGTTCTCAACCAGGGGGCCGGGGCCCACTAGGGGGCTTCAGCAAACCTCCAAGGGGCATTCAAGATCATTAAAAAGCATTTAAATTAATAAATTATTGCTAATATTTTAAAATAATCTAACTCTGAATAAAAATGTAACAATAACTGTTGTTTCATTAACAGCATTCTTAAAAATGTCTGAAAACACAACATTGTGTATACTCCTAGTTTCTGTTAATAAAAAAGTTTAAACCCAGGCAGCTTTGTCATAATTATGCAGAAAACTTAATATTACATGTTTATGTAGATATAACGGGACATTTGACTCAAAATGTTTAGGCAATTCTGCATGTCTACTTTGGATTTTTTCATTGTGTTTATCGCCGTCTCAGTCTAGGATCACCTTCTCTGCAATAGATATTTCTCCCTCACTTTCAAGTCTTCTCTTCAGGCCTGGGCTTCCTGCTGCAGCAGCCACCGCCGCCATCATGTTCTGGAAGTTTGACCTGAACAACACCTCCCATATCGACCAGCTGCTGGATCGAGAGGGAGTGACTCTGAGAGAGTTGATGGAAGAGGAGGATGTCCTGCAGGAGTGCAAAGCACAGAACCGCAAGCTCCTGCTCTTCCTCTCCAAGGATCACTGTATGCTGGAGCTGGTCACCCTTATTACGGAGGAGCCACCTTCTGACCTGGAGGAGAAAACTCGCTTCAAGTAAGACAGAGACACGGCTTTGCACATTATTTTGCTAGTTTTGACCAACCAGACACTGCAACATTGGCTCAGCCAATTGCTTGAGTTTGGGACAGGGTGTCTGCAGCTACATTTACTGTTGCCCTGGCAAAATTTCATGAGCAAAATAGGAATCTGCTCAATTTAGAGTTTTGCACGAGAGGGAAAAAGTTCCCTGTGCAGATTTTGCATGTGTTTGATGTGTTGACCAAAAGAAAGCTGCTTGGTTTAAGAGCTGGGCTTTATACATTGCTACACTTTTGACAGTAAACAGTGTACTTTTTAAGCTAATGTGACTGCACTTTAAATGTTCATTCACAGCAATTAACTTGTAGCCTAGATGTAAATATGGCTGGCAGTAAAAGTATTCCAACTGGTACTGAGAATTGCTAAATTATGATGGTAGGACATATGTGTTGTTCACTGGTAGCCCTGCATGTCTGGAGCTCCTGGTTACGGGAGGGCTATAAAACTGACTGTGAAGATGTAGAAGTGCAGAGAAGTGGAGTTAAATTGACAAATGAAGGAAGAGGAACAGGAAAATAGAAATTAGTGAGTTGAAAGGTGATGTGTAAACTCTTGTGTTCTGCTACTTTTATGTTTTAAATCAGAGTTGCTTTGTTTGTGAGGGTTGTGCTGTTTAACAAAATATATGAAAAAACTCATGTTCTGAAGGGTTGAAATCTATCAGGTTTAGCACTCTCTGTTGGGACCATATGGTTGGAGAGAGAGAAAGACATTAGAGTTCATTTAAAACTAATCATTTGGTTCTCTGTGTGTAGGAGGCAGAATCATTTGTCTTGAAATGAGCAAGCGGATTCACTCAAAAATGTATTTTCTCTCCAAGTATTGTGAAATGTTATTACATTGAGTGAAATATGTTGTCAGCAGCACTGATCCAGATTTTTTGCTTGGTGATATTTTTGTCAAATGCAGAATCCTGCAATAGGATATAATGCACTGCCGCAGAGTTTATAACCTTCTCTTGTGGCTCAGACAACACTGCACCACTGAGTTGACCAGTATTTACTTTAGTGCTATCTGAGTAACAGAAGATAAGTAGTGCTACAGAGCAACTTTGTTAGTTTTGAAATGCCTTCATTGGACCCTCAGAAAGTGCCTTAGTTTGTAATGCTAAAGGCCAAGTCACCATAGACCTTTTTTTGGCCTGTTGCTGTTTGATTGTGTTGTCACATGTTACTTGTAACTAATATAGACATTTTGATTTGTTTATCTAGGTTTCCAAACATAGCCTGTGAGCTCCTGACCTCTGATGTGGCTCTTATCAATGATAAGCTGGGTGGAGATGAATCCCTTTTGGAGAAGCTCTACCACTTTCTGGAGCAAGAGCCGCCCCTTAATCCCCTGCTGGCGTCCTTCTTCAGCAAAACCATCGGCAACTTGATTGCACGTAAAACAGACCAGGTACGCACACCTGATCCACACAACTCAGAATATGAACACACACTACATGGCACAAAGAAAATATGGGGGTTATTTGTTTGATTTGTTTAGTTAGTAAGTTGTCTGTCATTGCACATGCAGGTAATCTCTTTCCTAAGGAAAAAACACAACTTTATCAGTCTGGTGCTGAATCACATTGATGCCTCGGCCATGATGGACCTTTTGCTGCGCCTCATCAGCTGTGTAGAGCCTGCCCCCTTGAGGATGGAGGTCCTCAATGTAAGCACACTAATATTTATATATAAATGAGAATGAACAGATTTAAAGGGGCACTTATAAACTGTGTTCTGTTCAGCTATATCTAAATGCAATAACATGCACTGTGTGAATGTTTCCATGTGTTGTTGACTCTACAAGTGAATTTGGGGGTTATATGATGGTTAATCTTGTTCAAAAGCATTTTAGCCTGAACCATTTGTAGAAATTATGCCTTTAAGGAACATTAATAAGTGATTTAGTTGCTTAAATAAGACATTGACCTGCATTTAGCCTGACTGTTATCCTCCAAGCCGTGGCTGAATCCTCACTCATCATTACGGGGCTGTGATTCTAGTCTGTGAATGAATGTATTTGCAGTGGCTGAATGAGGAGAGACTCATCCAGAGACTCACAGAGCTCATGCACACAGGGAGAGATGAAGAGGTACAAAATATCCCTCACTCTGCTGAACTTTTCAACCCCAGCCCACATGATTTCAGTTATGGAAGTTTAAAAAAAAAAAAGGACATTCTTGTTGTTCTGCAGAGACAATCTAATGCATCCCAGACTCTTTGTGACATCATTCGACTTAGTCGAGACCAGGCCAATCAGCTGTCAGAGGTCACCGAACCAGACCCCTTACTCGCTGTCCTGGAGTCGTAAGTGCCAAATCAGATTAGCTAAGATCTCAGTCCTGTAACATAGTGGGCCATGTGTAAGAATTTACACACTCTGTAAAGACTGCTGTTTTTGTACAAAAGGCTGTTTATGTATCTCATCCGTTTATATTTATGTCTTTGTAGACAAGAGAATGTGGCGGAGCTTTTGAAGAACATGTTTGAAGGGGAAAGGACTGAAGCGTCTGTCGTCAATGGAACGGAAGTGCTTCTTACATTACTGGAGTCACGAAGGTCAGGGTGAGTTCATCCATTACAGGGCCTAATTAATCCTAAAATAAACAGCCATGCTTGGACGCTTGCTGTTCTTCCTCTTTTTTTATCTTTCTTTGACCTTCTGTTATCTCTGTGTCTGATGTTATTAGGCTGGAGGGTCTGATGGACCTGTATTCTCAGGGATGTGAAAGGTCTTACACTGTCAACAGCAGTATTTTACGTGCTATTGAGCCTCATCTAAAGGACTTCCAGCAGCTCCTACTGAACCCTCCTATGGTACCAGCATGCACACACACACTCACAAGCAACTCCATCTGGGCGTAAATGTCATCTCAGGGCTTTTGAACCACTTTTTTGTGTGTGTTAAGCTAAAGTTTGTTGCTCTTTTTCCAAACTTAAGCTCCCTTGCTGTGTGCATAACTAAAGTAAAACCTCATAAGTGACTGATTTGGAAAACTCTACATTGGTGTCACTCTTCACAAGAAGCTCATTGAGAAACTTACATGAGTTAGTGTTTTTTTTAAGCTAATTTACTTCATTAGGCATCAAAATACATGCCACACCCAAATATTTGAAGGAATCACAATTTTTCAGGAAAGTCGGTATGAAAATGCATGTTATTGATCTTAGTTCAAATGATTCATCCATGCATGTCATTTTTTTCATAATTTTTTGAAAATTTAAACCAAATGTCCTAACTCAGTCTTCCTGTGAAATGACAGACTTCTCTAGCTAAACCACGCCTCTTCACAATTGATTGCAAGCTCACATTAATTTTTGGGTGCAATGCCCACATCTCAAAATCCAGTCAGCAACCGATGGGCAGAACCAAGTTCCTGCCCTACATTTTTTTTCTTTTTCGATAATCTGTTGCACTCGGATGTACATTGCAATACGAAAGAAACAATCAGTAGCTACTTCGTTTTCATTGTGACTTTATTAAGTCTTTGAAGGTAACATAATATTGCTGTTGAATTTTGTGGAACAGCCTTCAGGAGCATCATTTTAATGCTGTAAAATGTGTCAGTCTTTGTTGGCAGCACAGTAAGTTCTGGAACAGAGCTTCTGTCTCAACAATCACTGTGCAATCCTGAGAGTGACAGCCCTCTAACAATGTGTCAATCTCCCGCCACTTGCTGTGGAACAGAGAAGTGCAATACTCACTACAGTGGGCGTTCTGGAGCAGCCCCTGGGGAGCGCCCGCCTTCATGTGGCCAGACTGGTGGCTTCTCTGCTGCAGACTTACGACCTCAGCATCTGCCAAGAGATCTGCAGACTCAACACCATGGACCTGCTGTTGGTAAATCACTTGCGCACACACATAGAATATCGCAGACTCAACACTATGAGTTGGCTGTGAGTGGGCGATCTTGTTTTTCATTAATTTTTTTCTCTCCACCTCTCTCTGGTTGCAGGATTTATTCTTTAAATACACCTGGAATAATTTCTTGCACTTGCAAGTGGAGCTGTGTGTGGCATCCATCCTGAACCACTCTGCCCACGCAGACCTCCAGAACCCAGGTCTGCAGAACCACGAGGAGAGACCAGCTACAGGCACAGGCAACCAAGCGGAGGAGGGAACACCTGGCCAGAACAGCACCTCAGACCCAGCAAACACGCCCATTCAAGATGCTCTTGTTGCCAATGTAGGTCATCAGCTTTAGTTCATATATTTTTGTTCATGACTGCTTCCTTTTGGTCCCTATTTTCATATTGACAGGAAACAGGGTAGTGGGCCTTGTTAGTGGTGCTCATGAATGCAAGCATCATTTTCACTACTTAACACGTATATTACTGTTCAAAAGTTTGGGTCAGACAGATTTTTTTTTACTATTTAGCAAGGATGCATAAAATTGATCAAAAGTGACCGTAAAGACATAAATAATGAAAAAAAAAAAATCAAAGAAATGCTGTTCTTTTCATGAAAAAAAATCTTACTGACCCCAAACTTTTGAACGGTAATGTATTGCACACACTTTGGTTCAGGTATTTGAATAAACCATTGACCCTAAGTAATGACCTTTGGTTCATCCCCCACCTTGAATGATATCTCAAGTCATGTGGTTTGTTGAGTAGAGGTGTGTCAGTTTTGTTTTCTGCATATTCTTTGTTATCCTTTTTTGACTGCCTTTTTTGTAATCTACGCTCTTTTGTGTTTCCTTTTTGTTCATTATTCTCAATGTCTGGCTGTTTGCTTTCCTCAGCTCTTCCAGCATTGCCGGCTGGTGCAAAGGATTCTGGATGCTTGGGAGGAAAATGATAAAATTCAGTAAGAGACTCTCATTTCTTTGTTGTCATTGATTTATAAGCATGTGTGATAGTCCCATGAAGCTCAACTTGAATCCGTCATGTCGTCAGTATGTTTGTTGTCTGTCTGTTTGTTTGTGCTGTTTTGATTGTTCTGATTGTATTTTCTCTACCTTAATCTCCAGGGCTGAAGGAGGAAGGCGAAGGGGAAACATGGGTCACCTGACAAGAATTGCAAACACTGTGGTTCAAAACCTGGAGAAAGGGCTGGCTCACTCTCAAATTAATGACCTAATTAAAGGTTTGTTGTGCAGGAATATGTCAAAAGAGCTGATGTTTATGAACTGATGATACCTGAGATCATAATCACTTGTATATCCACAGAGCTGCCAGAAGACTGCAGAGGCCGCTGGGAGAGTTTTGTGGGTGACACTCTGAGAGAGACCAACAGGAGAAACACAGTGGATTTGGTGAGGAAAGCATTTACACACATTTCATTGCATTGGACAGATGAATAATATTGGATAAGATATTTAAATAGCCAATATAATGATCATGTTATTTTTTTCCTTTTAAAGGGGTCATATGATGCTGCTAAAAAGAACATTATTTTGTGTATTTGGTGTAATGAAATGTGTTTATGCGGTTTAAAGTTAAAAAAACACATTATTTTCCACATACTATACATTATTGTTTCTCCTCTATGCCCCGCCTTTTTGAAACGCGTCGTAGAGAGAGTTACAAATATGTTCACTTCAATAGATTATAACAGTAAATATTTCAGAGATGCTAAGTGCTTCTTTATTTTCATAATAAAAAGATGTAACATCACTCCCTAATTGGTCAAAATGGCTTTAAAACCTTTACTTACGAGGAAACCAGTGATCACAGTTCATTTAACTTTTTTTAATATATCTTTTTTGTCACTTTCACCTTCATTAAGAGCATGTTACATGGTTTGATGCTGATTTCTGATTGGTTCTCATCCTGTGTTCCAGGTGAGCACCCATAACTTACACTCATCTAGTGAAGATGATGACATGGAGAGCCCTTTCCCCAATGATCTGTCCATCCAACAGGTAAGAAGCAACAAATAAATAGCCAGCATGAGTCTGCTTTAAACTCCTTACAGCTGATTGGCTAACATTTAAGCATGATTTATTTTTTTTTGCTTTCAGGCGTTCTCTGATTACCAGATTCAGCAGATGACCGCCAACTTTGTGGATCAGTTTGGTTTTAATGATGAGGAGTTCAGTGAACATGATGAAAATATCAAGTGAGTGCTGAAGACGTATTATGAAGAAATGTTTCTCATAGGGCTGCACTATTAATTGAATGCGATTGTCATGCACATCTTGTCAGTAAAGCCGGTTCTGTTATTAGTAAATCTCCATCACCTGCTTTCAGATGGAGTAGCATTTACTACACAGAGCCGTAGATCTCTGACAAGCTATGCAAAAAAATCGCAGACGATATAATCGTACGATTATGAAATCGTTTGCGATTACAGCTGTTTGCGTAGCTTCTCAGTGAACTACGGCTCTGTGTAGTAAATGAAAATACCACATTTAATAACGTTTTTACTCCAAACTCACTTCATAACGTCAGTCGAGTGTTTGAAATAAATCCTTCTGTGAGATGATGTGGCTTCTTACACAGAATAAGGCACTCAACATATTTCATAGTATTCTAAGCAGTGATAAAGGCTATGTCGATTAGCATTGCATTATAGATATACTTTATTATAATGAAAATTATAATAATAAGAACTCAGATAAACCATATATTGCCGTAGTCGTGTGTTTATTAGTCACGCTGAATCAACGAAAACATTTAAATCTTCTGTTTATTCGAGTCTGTCCTCGCTGCAGCCTGCAGCACGATGACGTAGCTGGACTATACTACGTAGTGGATATTTTACGTGCATGCGCTGTAGTAGGTCTCGAATAAATTCATATTTTTATTTACATTTTATCATTTTGCAGACGCTTTTATCCACAACGACTTAGTCTAACGACTTGGTATAAGTGAAGTCTAACGCAGTACATGTAGCAAGGGTTTTTAACCTACATTACATATCTAAACGATGACCTACATTACATTACAATGTAAAAACTTTAATGTCTAAATTCATCCGCGATGTTTTCGTCTATACCGGCAACTTCAAAGCACAGAGAGTGAGAACGAAAAATAATATTTGGTTCATGAACGAATTTTTGACAGAACTATCTATCTTGACTAGACTATCAGAGGAAAAAATAAAGACAATAGTTACACCCCATTTTTTTCATAAAAAACAAACAAAATTGTAATTAGTAGAGTTTTATTTCTAAAACGAATCAAACTAATAAAAAATAAACAGCTTGCATACCAAACTCTTTCATTCAAAACTACGTCATCGTTGCTTAAATAAAGTTTGAATACACTACTAGTTTAAAATCACAGTATAATATAATTTGTGTAAGCCGAAACACACCTATATCTCGTAATTACAGTTTAATTTATATTAAATACTAGCTTCAATGACAGCCCCACTTTGCGCATTAAAATCCAATACTGCGCATGCTCGTCAAACATCCAATACGTATTGGATCTGATCCAGCTACGTCATCGTACTACAGGCTGCAGCGAGGACCTCCTGGTTTATTCAGCAACTGCCGCGTTTCTTCTGTGGGGCGTATTTGGAGTTTCCGTGCAAGAGCGCCCTCTGGCCTTCAGATGGAGATTTACTACTGATCACAGAACCGTGCTTCACTGAAAGATACGCATGACAATCACAGCTTCGGTCTAATCACGATTTCGATTTCATTTCGATTTATCGTGCAGCCCTAGTTTCTCAGATCCAGTGATAAGTATTGCCATATATCAGAATGCTGCAGAGACATGCATTGATGTACAGTGCTGATATGTTTCTGTGGTAAAGATTGTCAGTATGATTTTTGAGAGACCTCTTTTAATCTTGCAGTGCTGCGTTCGATCGAATTGCTGAAATTAACTTCAATATAGATGCAGATGATCATAGTGTAAGTGTCAGCCACTGAAAACACTGTCCATTATTCAAATGATCACTTAGCCCTGCTGTAAGTGTTTTGATGGTTTATTCGGATTGTTGTGCTCTTTAGGCCAATTCTGCAGCTTTTGAGGCATGTTGTAAAGAAAGAATCCAGCAGTTCGATGACTGTGAGGAAGAGGAGGATATTTGGGATGAAAAAGAAATAAACTATGCAACACAAATCAAATCCAGATCGAGGTACAGCACATGGATGATATGCTTGAGGAAATAGATTCTCCTGTTTTGTTTATTGAATTCACATTCTCTATTTATGCTTTCCAGGTTCGGGGTGTCTCTTTCTTCAGATAGTTCACCCAAGAGTGCAGTGAGGAATGGGGGTGGAGGCTGCGGGTCGGCCTCTGAGGAAGAGGATGTTGAGGAAGAGGCCAGTCCTCAGCATTCTGCAGTGGCTCAGACTCAAAGTGAGTGCTACAACATCACCCACAACTCTGAATCTTTCAGATGAATTAGTTTATTGAACATTCTTTGTGCTTGTGTACAGATTCAAGCTGGACGGCGAGTTTTGGTGAGACGGAGGTGAGCTCCTCTAGCTCCTGGGGTGGCCCCCCTCAGCAGGGAGGTGAGGGTCCGCAGGACACAAGCTGGACCTCCTTCACTGAGTTCCAGCCTTTCAGCAGGTAAGAACACTCTGCTTTGAAGAAAGTTGTATAATGCTTCTTACGACACTGTTTTGGAATGTTTGTTAAAGTGAGGTAATATTGGTTGGACTGTGTTTGAATTATGGGAATACCTTTATCAGTGCTGATCCATTGACTTTTACATTACAGCACAGAGTCCAGCCAGACTGAGGGACATCCTCAACAAGGCCAAGAGAAGAACTGTGAGTATGCTGTATTTGAGTCTGTCTGAATATTAACTCTGTTAATACACAACATGGGAAGTAGTCGACCACCAACAGACAGTTTTCTGTCTTAAATTTACCTGATGCAGGGCTCTACGGATAGTTGTCTTTTTAGGAGCGCTTGTGCTCCTAATTTAAAAAATGTAGGAGCATGGTCAAAAATTTAGGAGCACCTTCTAATCAGTAATCAAAAATTCTGATAAAAAAATTAACCTTCCCATTACGAGGTGATATTTGACTCCTTAAAGTGATTTATAGGGAATTTTGTTTTTACCTTTGTAATGGCATTTTTCTAACTTTATTAAAAGTATGTCATCTTTTATGTCAAATTCAAAAAAATATATTTATAAGCTTTTTAACATTTCTAATTAAAACAACAGAATAAAAACAAGTAGAATAAGAATAAGTTACCAATCAAATGAAATCAGTATTTACTAAATAAATTTGTGCTACAGAGATGGCACAAAAGAACACACAAGTGGCTTGCATGTGTATTTTCAGACGTTTAATGAGGCTCAGAGGTCGCATGAGTGCAATTAAATTCATAAATTCATGTTGAGGTTAATGTTTTAAATATAACATTTTGAATATAGAAATGATTTAAATAACAGAAAAGAAACTTTAAAAATTAAACTAAAACTGCCTGCAGGTGGCGGCAAGTCACTGATTTTATCACTGAATCATTCATTCAATTGATTCGTTCGAACGGCTGAATCATTCAG